GGTCCCGGGGCCCCTGCCTGCGAGGCCCGGCCAGCAGCAGCTCCGAGCGCTGCCCGCCGGCCGCTTACCGTGGCGCCCGATGGGGTGTTTATTATACATCTGACTGTCGAGTTCTGCTTAAGTGTTTGCCTCTGATCTTATTGCCTGAATTCCTTCTGATCCATTAAGAAGAAAAAAATTCTCTATTTAACAGATGAGTGCCAAACCAAATACGGAAATGCGAATGCTTGGAGATACTGTACCAAAGTCTTTGACATGCTCACAATAGCAGCTGTAAGTGTAAACACCACGTTACAAAACTACGAGCAGATTGTCTAAATGTGACTGCTAGAATGAGTGACCTTTAAGGGTCACACTGGTAGCGTTCTGGGCTGGATCAAAATACCAAGTATTTCACATATGTATCTTTTTTTCTTTTTTTCCTCCAGTTAATAGATGAGCAGATTCTCTGTGTGCACGGTGGCCTCTCTCCAGACATCAAGACACTCGATCAAATTCGAACCATTGAACGTAATCAAGAAATCCCTCACAAAGGCGCCTTCTGTGACCTTGTGTGGTCCGATCCAGAGGATGTCGATACGTGGGCGATCAGTCCGCGAGGGGCAGGCTGGCTCTTCGGTGCAAAGGTGACGAATGAGGTAATGATGCTGTTGTATGCAACGTAAAGTAGTTGCAGGTGCGAGATAAGTTGAAGTGTTTGGCCACGAGTTCGATATCTACCCTAGGGATGAACAGATCAAGGGCACTGCGAGATGATGAACTTTCTTTGTAAGACCGCTGTGAGTAAGTCGTGGTGCTGGAGAAGGTTCGCTCAAGCCAACTTGAAAAAATGAGCCATTTGAACTTGAAAGCATAAATACAGCTGCCAGATGCGATACTGATGTTGCTTTTAAAAAGTATAATGCAGTGAGACTAACTGGTATCGCTAGGGTTTGTGTCGAATACTTTTCTAAGGACTTGGGCGAAAAAAAAATACCGTGCGAGAGGGGAGAGAGAGAAATACTTTCTCTTCACAATTCTTGACTTAATTTTTGTTATGTTGGACAAGAGTGAGCAGACTTCTTAAAGGGGGCCTATAGGAAGGATGGGGACAATCTTTTTAGCAAGTAGCAAGCCTGTTGTGACAGGACAAGGAAGAATGGATTTAAACTAAAGAAGAATAGATTTAGACTGGATATAAGGAAGAGATTTTTTACACTGAGGGTGAGGAAGCACTGGCACAGGTTGCCCAGAGAGGCAGTGGAGGCCCCATCCCTGGAAACATCCCAGGCCGGGCTGGACGGGGCTCTGAGCACCCTGGGCTGGTTAAAGCTGTCCCTGTCACTGCAGGGGTTGGGCTGGATGAGCTCTAGAGGTCCCTTCCCACCCAAAGCATTCCATGGTTCTGTGATTCTATTCTATTCTCCAGGCTAACACGCTGACCTGCCCAGGCCCCTGCCCCAGCTGCATTACTAACTCCGCACTCGTGCCGTGCGTTGTCCCTGGCCTTTCCGCAGCACTTTCAGGCAGGATTGAGCCTTGCGGACGGCAGAGACTCGGGCATGGCAGCTGTCACCTGTGTTTCATAGATGTTTTTCACCACTCAGGTCTGAAAACCTGAATAGTTGGGGTTTTTTCAGCACACTGGGTTGAAAAAGCTGCTCTCTAACCCCTTCGCGGCATGCGTGTGCCCAGGCTGTGGCTGGGAGAGGGCTGTTGCGTGGGCAGTGGTGTGCAGCTGCTCGGAGAAAACTGACCTTCCTTTTTTCCCTTTGCAGTTTGTTCACATCAACAACTTAAAACTCATCTGCAGAGCGCACCAGCTAGTTCATGAAGGCTATAAATTCATGTTTGATGAGAAATTGGTAACGGTATGGTCTGCTCCGAATTACTGCTACCGCTGTGGAAACATTGCGTCAATCATGGTCTTTAAAGATGTAAATACCAGAGAACCAAAGTTATTCCGTGCAGTTCCAGATTCAGAACGTGTAATTCCTCCTAGAACAACCACACCGTATTTCCTCTGAGACCCTTCCCGCCTGCTGTCTCCCTCTTCCCTCGTACTGTCCCTTTACAATATACTTTTTATTGAGCACTTTGCTGCTGAAATGCTGCCTCTTGCCTTTTTTATTTTTAAATTATCTAAATTTATTGTGTATTAGGGTGTCTGTAGCAAGTTTCTTTTTTTTTTCCCCCCCTCCCTGCCCTAGATTAATTTCAGCGTATTTGTCATACGTCCTTGAAATTTATACTACTGCATGTAGTTCTTACGTATTTCTGGGTTTAGATGAAACGTTTGCCTTTTAACAATCGTGGTACCCGGGGCGCAGCTCAGCCCCGGTGTGTTACTCAGCTTTTTTGTTTGGTAAGTTTTAAGAAATTTCAGCAGCAAAGTTAC